CTCTGCAGGCGCAATCGCTGCAAAAATAGTATAACGAAAGAGATTCAAGAAATATACACATAACAGATTGTCAGATAAATGTGACGTTTTTCCAAAACTTCTATGGTGGAGCTGAACTGGCGACAGTCTTAGATAAATATGATGCCCACTGGCCAAAAACAGCAGTGACAATTGAAGACAAGTCAAAATCATACATTTTCCATACTGTTATGTATCTATCTTATGCACTGGAACGATGAAACCTTCTCCATAGTCAGAGTGCACTCCGTTGTGTTTTTCGCACCATGGAGAAAAACCATGTGACTTCGCTGTAATTGATGATGTTTTTAAAACAGGGTAGGACGTTCTCGTGGATTGAATACCAGTTTGCAATTAGACCAAAGTCGAGAAAATCAAAATTCTTGGATTGTCTTCGATTCCCTATGAGGACGTGACGATGTTACCTGGATCGATTAGATACCAGCAGTAATGAAAACCGATCAAAACTTATTGCACATTTGACATGGGGGGTGTGCAAGGGTAGTTTTTCGACCACAACTTCCCGCTTATCAAAGGCAAAACCCGCGCCAAAGCCGTGTGGGGCAGACTTCCTTTGCCCAGTAGTATAGACCTATAGAGGACAATCAAAAAGCTTGCATTCCCATGGCACGGAAATCACCCTGGTGAGAGCGTTAAAGCCTTGCAAATTATTATAATATGCTTCAGCTGCAATTTTTTTCATTTGTCAGGCTCCCTCTCATTTGTTGCGCTCTCTAGCCTCATACTCTCCTCTCCGCGCTTAGTCTCTCATTGCCTTAGCACATCCTATTATGAAGGTGAGCAAGCTCTAAACGTAAGCGTTTTCAACGGATTCTTTTCCTTTTTTTCTTTACTGCCGGCCGTTTGACCCATAACGGGGCGTGCGCCACATGGTGGGGCACATTATTTCTTTGGTTTTTGGAATGTTTCTAGCAATCTTAGTATACCCGTATATACTCTCAGCAATGTGGAATAGCATATCTTCCCAGGACCTGGACGACTGGATTTTTGACAAAACTACAATAAATTTTACATACATTTTGTCTTAATTTACATAAGCTTACTGTTTGATGGGTGACTCACCTATGGTTCACAATTTCCGAGACCCCTTCCCCTAAATACAGCGACATCCTTGCTCGGGGTTGTTATTTCGCATTTTTCGATAATGTCAACTACAGCTTCCATTCATTCTTTGCACCCTAGTTTCAGAGTGGAAAGGCGGGTTACGAACTTGTCGTCAATGGTCTCTTCTTTTGGATGATGAACGCGGACACCTACATACTTTAGCCCCATCTCAACCCTGCTGTTCGCATAAACCCACATAAACCCTATCCTGGGTAGCGGGAAAAATACACTGGCCGTCGTTATGGGTTAAAGCTAGTAGGCCTGATATTATTTCCTTTTTCATTGCTACTTCACGTCGCTTCTTCCGCCACTATACATCTTGTATCTTTAAGTAGCCTATGCGCACCAAGAACTACTGATCTAGCTTTATGGCAATCATATTTTATGTATTTACCATCCAAAATCGGCTTGAACGATCTGTTGCAGCCGTGCCGCAAAATCGCCCCGGTCCCACGCGACCAAAAAAAGTGAAAACGCGAGTTGACGTCACAGAGTTGTGAATCACAGAATCTACGATTCCTCACTTGATGATCCTTAAGAGCCTGATTGTTGGAAACGAACGTCCACGCACTCGAAGTGACTTAATAAGTCTCGATCTCCGAGTGAGTCCAGAAACTGGGTTCCAGAGGGGCATTATCTGGCGATCAGCAGTTTCTAACCGCTCGCACCACTAAATCTATGGCACTGATGTGTCGCCGTGTGATGTTCTCCATTAAGGAATGGGGAGAGGTTGTCAAACCCGAAAACTACGCGGGTATAGCCCATGACCGGCTCGGAGTGTGCCCAATGAACTTTGCAGCCCCCGTCGTTCAAAACAGTGTTTTCTCAGAAGCTGAAGATGCAATGCAGAATTCAGATAAGGCAATAAAACACTATTTATCCGCACTTCTCCGAACACTTTTAACTGCTACGTGAAACTCCCGCAGGATTTATAACGATCCCTCTCAAGTTGAGACCAGCGCCGACTGTCCGTTATTGCAAGATCCTAAGCTGAGGGACGCGTGGGCGCGTGTACATTTTTTAGACGCGCCCATGTCCCTTTCTCTTTTGACGCGCCAACACAAATATTTTCAAAGGAACATAGGTAGTACCCCACCCTCTCGACACGAGGTGCCGATATTAAAACATCGACTAAGGCTCATGTTCTTATTTTCAAGAAATAAACACATCTTGCATTTATGTTCTGCTCCAGTCACTTCTAACACTAATCTTGGCAGGGCAGAAGCCTTCCCAGCTTATCTACATTCTCCACCGCGGTTACCCGAAGCTGATTCAAAGATATCGATTAAGAATTGAAAATGTGATTCTCGCCTGAAAAATGTGTGTGACTACGCTTATATGACATGTCATGTTTTGCAAACGCCCGAGCCCCTACCTAGGATGGAGGACGCATCTCTCGTGGATTTTTCAGAGAGAGAAGGGCCGCCACACGGAATAAAGTCTCAAATCTGAGAAGAGTCGCCATCTATTTCAACTGTAGAGTTATCGGATTGTCTGCGCAGATGTTCGCGGGTAGTAAGTGTACAGTGGAGAGAGGTTGCCCAGTTCTTAAGATCAGTGCCTATTTCTACCATTATCTCTATAGAATTATCTGCGATACTAAAGGAAACTTTTCCAAACTGGCCTGCTCAAAGCATGCCTATGAACGCGTTTCCACCGAATAAATTGCCCAACGACTGTAATTTCAGGTCACGAGTATTCACCGTAAACCCGACCAAAGTGATCGGCCTATGCGCTCACGTCGCCGACATCGATTCTTTTTCAAGAACCATACACGCTTTGTTATTCTGCTTCTATGCACACTAATGCTATCGATTGCCGGCAATAGCACACTCTCCAACCGTCTGAAGCTCACGTTGAATTTCACTGTCTTGTATGGCCGGGGCGACACCACGATCCTGCAATATCGACGATAACGGCACTTCTGACACATCCCCGTCTACGAACTATCTAATGAGACTTATTATGAGTGTGAACACACAACCTGTCTTGATTTGTTCAATAAGTATTCTCTCATCTTTTGACCATGTGAAGTTTTACGTTTCACAGCAGACAAATAATGTTATGTATTGATGCCAGGTATGCGAACTACCGACCCCGCCGGATAAAAAAGAACACCGAATGGTCAGTGAGGATGAAGTCCCGAATAAGGTCTTATGATTAGGCCGGTGATTGAACTTTAGCGAATAGATGAATGTTCCAGTGGTTAAGCGGTGTACACGCAAAAGCGGGTTCGAATGTTATGTCAGCTGTCGATCGCCTACGAAAAGGACTTATGACCTAAAAAAATGGTGTAAAAGCTGTGACACCACAGTGAGGGCTGCTTGGTGTCACTCTCACACCAATTTTTGAGAGCAAAGTCCTATTTTGTAGGTACTGACGGTCGGATCATGAAAACCGTGTACTAATTATCCGCCCTGGCGTAAGTAGCATTTCGAAAGTGTTCCACCTCTTCCCCTCCCCCTAGCCGTTTCATGCTAACTCCATTTCGTGCGAATTTGGAACGTCAACTTGAAGTGCAAAAGTTTGTCACCACGAGCAATCGAACTATGAACCCCTTTTCTGGCATTCAGAGGGCGTTCAGGAACAATGAAAAATGGTTCTGTGGTTCCCGCATGCGCGCCTACATCGTGCAAAAGACCGTTTTCAAAAAGCTTGGCACGCCCTGAAAGACCTTCCTTGCTAGTCACCTGTTCGAATTCTATTATCGCATTCTTTAACTCCTAAGCCCTTTTGGGATCATGGGCGCGATTTCGGGTGGTCCTATGAGGCTTTTCGATTAGATATCACTTCATCTGCATTTTTGTTGATCACGCCAAGGGGATCATAAACGGTAACCTATCGGTGATTATTCGAATTGGGGCAACAACTAGTGAATATACAGAAAGATTCTAATCAAAGGGACGGAACCGAGCCTGCTTGGACATCTCTCTCCTCATCATACATAACGCGCTATATGCGCAACCGAACTGTCGTGCAGGCTGCCTTTAGTCTCTCGCAATGGTGGCAGAACTATCATATTATTCACAGCAAGTAGACGTGTAGATAATAGTTTCATGTTCCGATAGACTATGCCTTCAAAATAAATGTAGTCACCACCTGCTCCCGATTCGTTGTAAGTATTGTGAGGGATTGAGCTCAAAGTACATATTTTTGTCGTTCAGGTAGGCAACTCGTCGGATTTACTGGAACATGATCAGGCAGTTTATGCTCGGCATAACTATGCCTACTCGCCGAATGAGAAGAATATTTTATTTTCGGTTGTGGCCATCGGCGCAATGGTGGCTGTCTATCCAGTAATGTGGCTAATTCAGGTGCTTTTCTGTGTTCGAAAGTGAACTTTAGCTTAGGTCAAATTAAACACATTGAGGACAGCGCGCATTTTGGCTTTTTTGGTTACCTGGGACAGGGACGATCTTGCGAGCGTTGCCGCCGCGCCTAGCAATCGTAAATTTCGAACGATAGCTCTGGAAAGCATCACTGATACAAAACCATTTCAGCAATATTCAATGCGTAGAAGATAATCAAGGATGCAGTGGCAAAATCCCGATCAAAAGAACGTGTAATTGTAATGGCAAGGGAATCTTCAGCCCTTTTTTCCGTAGTGGATGCCAAAATTATTTTCTATGTTGGTGCGCCAAGTGAAACATGTATTTTTCTATCCCTTCACATTTGCATTTACTTTCACTATCCTTTCTCACTGACATGTTCATGAGAATAGGGAGAAAACGATGAATGAATAGAGTTGCCAATTCCGCTGTGCATTAAAAACATCTGCTAAACTGGAGCGTATTCGATTATACTGTGACGCATGTCGTTTACAGTTATGCTATGTTGCAATATATAGAACAGAGACGTGCAACTTGGGAAGAATCCCCGCATATGTCAGAAAAAGAGATGGCAAGCGTGAGACGCGCAACATCGTCTTAAGATCCAACGAGGTGCGCAAAGTGAGACGCGATACCGAGCCTGTCATCAATGTTTCAAGGATGTCGGCTGAGTAGTTTATCAAGCAATGTATGTGAATGAAAACGGTCTATCATATGTTGTTACCCCACCAATTTGATCTGGGGTTGTTGCTTCAAGAAATTGTGTCAGGTCGAATGTTGTTGTGGCGTTTGATAAGCACAATGTTTGAAAACATTAGCGTGAATTTGAGCTCTGCCCCAGGAAGAGTGTTCCATCCATATCTTATTGATCATCTCCTTCAATTTGGAAACGGAAGCATGCACCTTTTTGTTTTTCGTAAAAAGGATGTGGAACTGAGGCGATTAAGATTTCCTCTTGACAGGAGTAAAATGCATGATGCATGGCGTATCCCGCCAGATTCTTATGTGTTGTTGCTAACAAAAACAACGTGTTGTTTTTTCACATGAAAGCGAAGGTTACGGTAAATCGGTTGTAGAACAAGGGAAGATATGCATACTATAAAGAATCCCAGGCCACCAAAGAAGCAAAAAGAAGCTTGTGTTGCGGCGAAGGACGCGCTCGTCCAGTCTAGGAAAACCCAACCCTGCAAAGCGCAACCCGCCGTGGTGTGGCCAGCCTCCAAGCGGAGGCCTCGGGCTATGATTGGTTGGAGGCCTATACTGCCCGCCTTCCTTTGCTCTTCATTTTTGAAGAGGGCACTTCATGTTGAGCGACCGTGTCCTTCAGTTGTTCTATGCAACGTTATCAACGAAAGGACGATGGTCGTTGGAATGATACTAGCTGTAAGGATTAGCACGTGTAAACGATCCCGCATCGGTTGCTTGCTCGTCCAAAAGTAAATCAACAGGCAAAAAAGGTACCCTGGGTCTCACCAGTTCTCATGAAACTTTGAATCAGACCTATACACATCGATAGAGCTTCAAAAGCCGATTGCGGAAATTAAAACTGCAAAATGGACCTGCCAAGGATGTTGCGAGCAGTCAAGGGCGGCTATAAGTAAAGCGTCAAATATGAACATGCTAGCGTCCGATCATTCAAAGCCACGTAGAGTGGTGGTAGTACTCTCGCTCTCCAGCCGGTTATTGATGAATTTTCCTCCTGTTGGAGTGCAAATTTCTACTCCACGAGGATTCTGAATTCCAGACTCTAGCACGGTTTTTTTTTGTAACGCTCACGTTCCACCCACTTTGACTGCTCACAACTTCCTCGTCATCATTCTGCAGATTTCTTTTCCACACTTGTAATCGGTGTATGAGGCTCTATCGAAGTATCTAGGTCTCAAATAAAAGTTCCTTGTGGATCTGACTTCTCCAGTTAGGCCATAGTCTCTTGAGTTTTTTTTTTGCACCACTACACCCTCAACCACATTCACTTACAGTTCTACCCGACAATCTTTTTTAGTACCATCCGCCTCTAAAACGAGCAAGCTGCTAAAATTTATCAGGCATCAGTTTTCGATCGCTCAAGTATTGGTAATGCATGGAACGGGGACCCGGCATGCCCGTCGCGCGGCGAAAAAGCAGAGTCAGCGGACGAGTCGCAGCGCATGCTGCTGTGATTTCGCGTCAAGGTAAGAATGTACTACTGTACGTCCTACATCGCACATCACGCACTGTAACTCGTCCGCTGGTTCTGCCTTCTAGCCGCGCGATGAGCTTTTTGTCCTTTCTTGAATGGTGCCTTTAGCACACGCCGCTCTGCGGAATATGACGCTCGGCGTCACCATGTTACGACTAACGTTAGCGGCAATTCCGGAACGATTAACTGCCGCGCAATTCTATCGCCTGCGGCGAACGAAAGATTTGCGGTGATTTGTCCTTTCTGTCGCACTGCGTATTGTGTTCGTTGTCAGTGAGAATAGCACTTGTTTACTTTTAACCACGAATTGCTCTGACATTTATTTCTTCTCAATTTTTGAAAGGAAAATTATTCTTTAGACTCATTGTTACGCGGGATATGCAAGCTCTAGTGTTCCATACTTCTTTTGCTATCCTCGCTCAACTACCTCGGTTTTCAAACTCTTGAGCAGGAACCAACCCAGCAAGCCTATTGATTGCATATTAATCTGACGTACCCTCGTTAAGCATATGCTAAGCCGAAGCTGTACATTTTGGGGAACGAAATGAGTCATAAGTTGTGTGAACGGCAAACAAGTAGGTCCAATTCATGAGAATATGGGGGAAATCCGTCATAGTCCGAGAAGATAATTACAAAAGACAACAAAAGTAAGGTACTCACTTCATTAGAAACAATTTGCAGTGAAAATAATATGAAATTGCTATGGTCTGCACGGAAAGCCTCAAAGACAGTGAACGCTACTACTGAAAGGCGGAGCGTTTCCGACGACGTCACTGAGCGTCAGTGCTGGAAAGAGGTTGGGATGTCGCTCCAACCACGCCCTCAACGCGCTGGAAGCTCTGATAAATTGATCAACGGCGTGTGATGACGTCATGGAAACCGCTCCGCCCCCCAGTCATCATGATCACTGCCTTTGAAGCAGTCTGCTCTCACGCATTTAAAGGTTAGTATAGTTGAGAGGCAAGGTTCTCTTGTTGATCGTTAAGCAGTAGGATGGGTCGACCGAGGAGTGGGCTGAATTGAACTTGTTTTTTGTGTTTGTTCCATACATTAGTAGATGGGACGGAGGATATGCGGAGGTGGAAGAGGTGTGGCGCTCTTCACGCAGCCAGTGAGAATTGGAATCGAAAGTCGGATATCTTCTGGTTGATTAAGCTTTCTATTAGGTCGGTCCATAATTTTTGAGAACCTTTGGTGTTTTTCGACTTAATTACTTATCTGATTTCTCTGATGAATTTATTCAGCATAGTATACATCACCATTATTATCAACATATAACCAATGCAAGGGTGAGTATTCAGTGTCCCTCTTATAGAATATCATAGAGCTCTGATCGAAGAAATATTGGATGTCGATTTTGACTTTATGGTGATTCAAGTGAGATTTCTTCTCCAGAAGGTGATTGAGAGAGGAGAGCGGGTAGTCATTTGTTGAAGCAGGATTAGTGCTACAAGGCGGAGCTAAAAGAACTGACCGCCAGAGAAACTCCAATTTTTCAGGAATTTTCCCAGCAAGGCGGGCTCGAACGACCTTAGAAAAAAATAGATTTTGTCTTCCTTTGCTTTCAAGTTGAACGTTGCCGTCAAGCTGTCAACGATTCTTCCCATCACTGACACAGGTACAATTTGATGGCGGTCTTCAGCGCAAAGGCCCTCCCGTATCGCGCCAACGACTCAGGAAGTTTGAATTCAGAGGGAGTTGGGTTTTTGCTGTAGGACTCCCGAATCGTTTGAGCTAAGCTACTGCGGCTTGTGGATTTATTAGCACACTGCATTCAGTCCACATCACCTATGAGTATGATAGATGATCATCCGAAGGAACTATAGGAAACCAACAGGAACTTGATGATGTCAGATTGGGTTGAGAATTGACTCGGGACTACAATTTTCCTTCGATCAGAACTCTATGAAAGTCCACAATAGAGGCACTGAATACCCACTCTCGCATTGGTTATATGTTGGTAATAATGGTGATGCATACTATGCTGGATAAGTAGATCAGAGAAATAAGATAAGTAATAAATCGAAAAACACCAAAGGTTCTCAAAAATTGTGGACGACCTGATATTTGTTCGTAGTTGCCACTTGGCTCAACTCGGCTTGCCTTAGATTCTAACATTTGCGTTTCGCTGTCCCCACTAAACATTTTGTACTCCAAATCCCAAACAAATTCCGATACTGTATGGTAGTAGAGTGCGTGGCGCAGCTGAAAATGTGATCAACAGCAGCTGTTTATCCTTTCAGTGACTGTACCAAACATCAAATTTAGAGTGAATTCCTTGTCCTACGCAGGGCTAACGACTCAATTATTCTAAGAAAAAACGAAAAAGAGTAACCAATCGAAAATACATTGCAGAAGTTCGGCACCAGATCAATTGTGACGCTATTCGGCTTTTTCTCTGCTCTTTGTACTGCACTTATTCCACTGTGTGCTTATCTTGGGTTCTATTGGATGGTTGTAATGCGATTTCTGCAGGTAGGGTATTGACTCATTTTATTAATTTTGTAGTTTAATCTAATTGGGTTAAGCCGCGCTTAAAGATGAGAGCTTGTCCTTTCTATATTTTTATCAGTAAGATATCCGGGATCGCTACCGATTATATCATTAGAGAATTGCTAGAAGTCCTGCTACTTCACTCGAGAAGTTCACTCATCGAGTGGAAGTAGCAGGACCTCTAGCACAGAGATGGTGTTGCAGTCGCGCGATAGAGGAGCTAATGCCTTCGCTTCACCGCTGCGACCGCTGTCAATCTCTTCAATCCCAGCACACGTGGCGTCCGTGCCCTCTCGCATACTACGAACTCTCTCGCCTTTTCCCTTCCCTCGCAGCGCTCTGTTTCTCCGTCATGCCATGGTATTCCTCACTTCAGGGTTTCCTATGGTGATTTCACTACGTTATCTGATTTTCAAACAAAATAATCCATCTAAACCCATGCTTTTGACTATTTGACTCAATTTTTTTATTAAAGAACAATATTTTAACATTTATGGTACTGCTTGCAGGGTACAGGTCTTTCGACTGGATTCATTCTTATTGGTACCGTCACTCGACAATGGTCCATGCAAAAACAGAGCGCATTTTTTATCGCTTTTCTTACATGTTTTTTCCAGGTAAGGTGCGGGTTTTGTTAAAGGCGCAGATATAGTCTTTCATGGGATGCGATCCAAAAGTGAAGTTCTTCGTCTCTTTCGGAAATATTACATGCCAATAGATGTAGGAGGTGTGCCAGCGAGAACTGCGATGAAAAAAATTGATATTAACACACTGACGACAGCTTTTGGCGTTTTGGCTTTTTTGGCCACGTGGGACCGCGGGATTTTGCGGGCGCGCTCGCCTCAGGTCGTTCGAGCATTGAGTGGTAAATACACAACTATTGATAAATTCAAAACCAAATCAGTTTAATCCAAATGAGCGCCACCTAACCAGGGGTACAGTAGTGGAATTTCGATCGAAAGACATGGAGTAACAATGAAAAAGCGAAATTAATCAGAACTAGCTGCAATGGACCTCAAGAGCTATTTTACGTTGATTACTCCGATCAAAACACACATATTGTCGTCCCTAAGGTTCCTTATCTACTTCTACTATTATTGATCTTTCACATCAATAAAAATGCTAAAGTAAACGAAAATTTTATTGAAATGAAGCATTTTTGTATCGGCTCAGAATCTGCCTCTAAATTAAAGTATAACGTGATCCCCTTAAGGCCCACTATGTTTGGTCGCTACGTCAAGGTCTCCTCGTAATGGGATTGAATACAAGAAATTTCTAGCAAGAATCGGGCTGTGCGCAAAAAAAGTGAGTGTAATGGTGCGGGGGCGAAAGCAGCAGCGGTATACCGTTGGCCCTTTTGGTATAGGGTATGGTTTATCCATCCGTGTCGGCTACCGTGGTTTTTGGTTTTGCTACATGTACATTGAATCTTCATTTTTATTTTTTGTGCCTTGTTTAGTCTACAGTGCGTGTTCAAATATGTATGTGAACGTCCTCAAAAATCTACTGTGGTTGAAGATAAGGTTAGCCGTCATTGCTATATAATCCTCCTCAAATCGATTTCTCGGTTGTAGTCTTGTTATTTAATCCTATTCCTTAATGAGAGTATTATATTATTTTCTAGTATTTTAATATCAGAAATCAGGTGAGTACGATTAAACAGATTTCCTAAGTCAGGTTAACCTTTGCCGACGTGTATGGCCCGCCGGCGGGCACACACCAGAATCGGCGCGGGTGGGATCCGTGTGACGGAGTGATCCTTTTTGTACGTCGCTACTGACTAGTATTTAGTTGTGGGGTCGCCTATCGTTGCGGGATCCCACTGCTGTAGACTGCGCGGGAATTCCTGTGATCGCGGTTAAATTCGAACATTCCAGCTTCTCACGCATTGTCACGTGTCTGCCTCATTCTCGCTCGCACCCCCCTAGATGTGCTACCCTTTTGTCTGCCCTCGCTTCACACGGATTGCCCCCGCTCTTTCTTTCATGAAGGGTTCACTGTAGCAGAGGTTCATGGTGGGACCCGTAACGAGATGGCGTCCCTTTATTCTAGTCAGGTAAGGAGCTTATCAGAACGAAATTGCGTTTCCCGGTATGAAACCGCCGGCGGCCAGTGATTGGCTTGTCTGATCTAAGTTCAGAAAACAAACGTGAACAGTAGGCTTTTTTAATGGGTAATAGCAAAAATATTTTTGATCATTTCACAGAATAAAGGAGGCAGCAGTCTCAGGTGTTGATTTTTGAATAATACTCCCGAAGCTTTATTGTATGCCTTTTGTGGCTTAATTGTTGCCAACAATATGATATCCTTTGCATGATGTCAGTAGATAGGGACTCTGTATTCGGTTGCCGGGCTTTCACGTCAACAATTGTTTGGCTTTAGTCGTTAAAAAATTATTTGTCCAAGTAGGGTGTAATACAAAACATTAGCTGCTGTTAAGTAAAAGAGTAGGTATTGCTTGCAGTGTTTGCAGTTGCATGACGCTTTGCCTTGTTCTAAAAAGCCTAACTATACCTAGGGCTCCCATCGAAGTCAAACAATTGGAATTCAGCTTATGTGAGCATAGCTTATTCCAATCTATTGCTTCAGCATCATTTCGTTTGAGCCATTCTTTGGTAGATTGCGGAACATTGACAAAGGCGTGCTGGCAAGGTGGCTCCTCTTGCTAAACATGCAACCTTCGCTGCGCTCCTCGAGGAAAAGGCAACAGGTAATATTGGAGCATGCTTGGTATTCTTTACTATTCATGCGCAATAGCGGAACTGTATCTTTCAACTTCCCTCTGCCTTCGAAAGCACCCAGACTCATCAACGGGCTTACTCCGAAATTCTTCCTCGGGAACACGAGCGAATCACGGTCAAACCTCTCCAGCAGAAGCAAAATCCATCCAGCCAGTCAAGATCGAACTTGTTCCATGAGTTAAGATTACATGAGGAGAAAAAGTGGATAGAAGGTAGTTTGGTTCAAAAATAGAAAATTCTCGAAAAAACCGTGTCCTATCCCCGTGTCCTATCCTATGTTGCCATGTTTATACGCGCAGGCTCCAGTCTTGCTAACTTGCGTTCAGCCTTGAAGTGAGTATTTTTTCTCAGCGTTTATCGAGTGGTCTATTCATTTGAGTGGATGGGGGGCCTAATGGTCGTTCTCAAGGGTGGTATAAACATCTGAACTCGGAAAAACAATGAAGAATTCGACAGGATGCGGGCTACTCCTTAGTTGTTCTGAGCAGTCAGGGATCGTGGATGGCTCGGAGTGTGTGCTGAGTATAGTTATCAGGGTTACGGATAAATCTTCCACTGCCTTGAGGAAAACGGCCGAGCTGTCGTGCGACTTTTCGATTGGGATGTCCAGTATCGTGCAAAGCCCTGATCTGAGTTCGTCTGTTCGTCTTCAGTGCAAAGTCTGCCACGAATAGGTGTGATGACGCAAGAAAACAGCAAATTTGAATCGAGACCGCTTCGGCACCAAAATCTTATTTTCTTCAAGTGTCCACATACTTTTGAAACCAAGAAAAAAATTTCATCTAAAAATTTTATGGAAATGAGGCGATATTTCTTGCTAAACAACATTGATACGCTATCGACTACGCAGAATCGATTGGAAAGGAAAGTATGGCGCAAGGCCTCCTAGTTAGCTTTTGAACGTGAATTTTGAGGTGTCCACATACCTTTGAAAGCACTGTATTAGGTTGAAAAGTACAGTTCTTAAACTTAGTTCATGCTGTTTCTGAATTTCTCCCGAATGCTCTGGGAACTTCCGTGGACAAAAGTATTGGTGTGCTGCGCATGGTCGTCCAATCAGTTTTTCCAACAGAGGCGTTGGCATTGCACAAAACCGACTCCTCCCGCGAGAGCTAATTTTGTATTAACGTCGCCTGGGGACGGCGGTCCACGGGAAGCGTGCAGAATCAGTCCCGTGATAGCCCTGTATGCGGTCTCCCACGCAGCCGTATCAAGACGACTCGCTCGCTCAGCACCAGAGACTTTGATCTCTTCTACGCAACACACGGCTACTGTAGATCTTGACGTTTGTTCGCGCATGAATCGGACATCGTTCTAGGCTACGTCACCCTATCTAGTTGAATGTCTTCAGTGCTCGCACACTCGCGTCCTCAGGGCTACTCTGGAACTAGACACATCTTGAAGATGTGGTCAATGAATAGCGCACGATTTCGCAGATTTTCCGATTTCACATCTGCACGTTTACCTCTCATTGCTCTACAACGACGACTGACGCACAGCACGTGACTACCAGCAGTAGTCAAAGGGTTAAATGGCACTGATAAAATTGCTATTTCTGTTGATCAATATTGGTTGCTCTTGGGTGACCGTAATGCGGCGTAGTTAAGGAAAAAAACTAACCAACTAGTGAAAAAACGCGGTAATCGTTTAGACCGTACAACTACCTTGCCTAACCGATGCCGCATTGTTGGTTCTGGATCGACAGCAGGGATTTTGGTCAATGATCGATAACCAACCGGTGATGATTCTGATTTAGGCTATTCTTACTTCGAACGCTATTATTGCCGTATGGATCTCGGCTATCGCCAATTTTATGGGTATACAGGTGACAATGCAGTTCTCTCCAATATATCTCAACAAGGTAATCGATAGTAATCAATATGTCGATTACCTGAGCAACACAATTACAATATTTTAGGTCATGGGTTTTCCAGTGCATCAAACCGGTTTGTTCAGCGCCGTACCACAGGTAATAGAAATATACATATTACAGTTCTCAGAATATCATTGTCATTGTTAAGGTTTTGTCGGTGGGTTGTAATAAAAAATTGATATATTATGAAACTCAAGGAAGATGTGGTACTGCACAGGTGGCCACGTCGACTAGGCGTGAACATTAAGATGGCTATGGCATAATGAGATTACGTCTAAAGGGCAACTTCCTTCAAGGCAGATGGCACGACAAATTGGAAGTAGAAAAATAGGAAACCCTAGTATTGCGGAGGGAGATTTGCGTCCAAGGGACGAAATATGGTGTTTTAGTAAGAAGCGCGCACCCTTACTGTGTTCTCACCCCCCCCCTTCCCACCCTGCGGCTTCACCCTTCTCTCTGGGCGCTTTCATGCCTCTTCGCGCCCTTCGATTGGCTGCCCGAGCTGCTGAGTTCGCCGTCAAACTCTAGCCATTTTAGCAAAGAGGCAGAGCAGCTTGTATGTGGGTGACATCAGCACCGGTGAGGCATGTCCTGCGCTCAGTTCAGCAAGCGACGAGGGGTTCTTACTAGAGGGTTCTGGGTTGTTTCGGGTTTTCCTTCACCACTGCACAACTACCTCCTCAACTTTCATTTCCAGCGATCAACCAATTTGATGTGAATTCTACCTTGGAACACGCACTAAAATCGGTTACCTATCCACTTCATGGCTTCGTAACGCTGCCGATGATGAACAATCAGAACAGAAATCAAGGCGTAGCGCAACAGAGTCATCACCCCAATAATCTATTGTTCAGATAGTAACGTTTGGAGTGAAAATATTCGCCGGTGTTTTGGCCGATAAAGCGTCATGTTGCCAGCCGGTCACTTCAGTGAAAATATTCAATCTCATATCTGTTGGAGGAATGGGAATCGCTTTCTTCGTACTCGCTGTTATACCAACGTAAGCTCCTGGAACTCACTAGAAAAAAGAAATCGAAAACTTCTTTCACAGCCGAATCCATCTTTTTTTGAAATTGTACATCAGTAAATGCATAACTATTCCAGGTCAATGCCAATATTTGCTTTGGCAGTGCTTATTATTTGTACTTCTATAATCGGCTTCAACTGTGGCGCATTCCTCCGTAGTTCGGCTATTGTCGCCGCGTGAGTAACGTTTTTATTTACGCGTTTGTTGGCATTTACAGGGGGGGCCAAAAAAAGAGTCACTTTGCCTATGGCGCACATTACCAAATTTTTCATCGCAAAGAATGCCGCAGCTGATGAATGTTTTGCGGCAGAATATTCCTTAAGTGTCCCCCATGAGCAGAAGCAGCCCCTACTTCAGTGCCCTCACGGTCTTCAGAATATGACGTCATCTGCCGTCGCCGTTAAGACCAACGGGCTTACCGTAATCGCTCCGGCCTGAAGCTGCAACCCGATTCCTCCAATCGGTTGCGGTGAAAAGCTTCCCAGAGACACTAGCTGTGACCGTGCAAGACCGCTTTTGACCGGCGTTTCAGGGGCGTCGTAATGGTCTGTGGTACCTCGACGACGTGGTTGAGCTCGTGCCGTGAACCATGTTTCCGTGAGAACATCTTCCGAAGTCGTTAGTGTAGAAGGTTGTTATGTAGCCTTTTGATAGATTTAAATGTGCTCTTTAATATGCAGTAGGGCTCATTTGATTTGGTTCCGCAGTTCGAGATTAATTGCGTTTTGAATGTGGAGAGAAGTGACTCTTTTTTTTTGCCCCCCCACCCCTGTTGGTACTGGAGACAAAGATCAGGGATAAAGCATAAAGCTTCTGCCGTTGATCAATCCTTTTTTGTATGCGGCACGCATTCTCTTCCACTTGTACATTCGTAGTTTCGTTTGAATGCGATGTGGCCTATACAATGACTTGCGGGGGCCAGCCGATGTACGAGTTAGTGTTTTTATTCTCCCAAAGAAGTCTGGTAACAACTAACCGACCCTGGAGGGATGGAAGACTTCATTGGCTTAGGATATTGGGCGGCGACCCAGGCTTCGATCCTCGGACTGCCCCCGTGGTAAGCGTTCCACTTGCCACTACACCACTTCCGCCCCGGAGACAAAAAACTGATCCAAAAAGCTAGAGTTGCCTTGTTCTCTAGGATGCTCTGCGATTGCTTATGTCAGTTGCATTTTGTTTCAGATTGTCATCAATGCATTGCCCATATCAGCATACTTATACTGATCTTATTATAATCATTAATTAAATTCGACAGGAAAAGGTTCTATAAATCAAGCGAAATCGTTTTAAAGGCAGCACAATCATTTTGTGATGGGAGTGAACTCGTTCCTCAACTGCATGGCTGCTTTGCTGGCACCCGTTGTGGTGAATATATTCGTTCGCGACGACACATGGGACGAGTGGTGGTGGGTTTTTTTTCAGGCTTGAAGGCAGATGGTCCGACAAACTTGTCGCCGTTGGAGTGAAGGTGCAGGTGGCAGAAGGTTCCTCTTTGCTTTTCTTATGCCTCTCTTCACAGCAGACATACCTTTCCATGTCTTAAAAATCAAAATCAAAGTTTCGTCACGTCTTGTCCCTTCAAAATCCATGCGGAACATGCGCTATTTATTCATTCACCATTCATATTTAAAATATTTAATTACGTCGTTACACCTTTAATGCTTTATGTCCGCATGTCGAATGCCTTGCCATAAAGGGTGATCGTGCTCTTTGTAGGACACACCTATCCCATTCATTTCGATTTCTTGCCACTTCTTGCTACCTCTGTCCAGATAATTTCATAGAAATACCACTCCACCTGTCTTGGGGTTTTTCCTGCCGCCGTTTTAATCTACGAGGAAACCAATCGGTCACTCGGAACGTCCAGCGGCTATCGCTAAGACGAACAACGTGTTCTGCCCAACACGTCTCCGAATTGTGAATGGCCTCGATGGCATCTTTGACACCCTTTCACCTTACGGGGTGTAGTTTTGTGCACCAACGTTACAGGGCACATTTCTCGATCCATACCCATTGGTGGATGCCAGCTTTGTCACCTTGTCTTCAAGTGTGCTCCAAGTTTCGCTTCCATACATCAAGCTGGTAGGACATAGTAGGTGTTAAGTACTCGAGCTTTGATTCGAGCTTCAAGCTGCTCATCAGTAATAACATCACGATACCTGTTGAATTTGCAGTGGAATTCATCACGTCAAAGCGTACAAAGATCGCGGATGAAATCCGCAAGGTTCTGCGATTCGAACATTTGAATGCGCATGAAGATTTGAGAACAGCAGTGACGGCACGGAAACTTCAGTAGGAAGAGATGTGAAGGAACTAGCACAGTGCTCCTACAGCGATCAGGGTGCTCATATGGGGAGAAGACATTCCAGGGGAAGTGAGGGGCCAGCTTCTGGTTGGGACTTAGGGAGATGAAGATAGAAGAGACGAGGAGAAAGTCTCCTTCTTTGATGATGGGAAGAGATTTCGGAGTAAGATGTGAGCAATTTGTGTTTTCCATAGGGTTTCTCCCCTATCCTGAGCAAATTCCTAGTGTCCTACCATCGGCCCTGTCTTGAACGCCCTCCCTTAGATTATGAGCGTTGCGATCAGTAAAGCATAAATAGTTGACACTAAATAGCTATCTCAGCAAAGCTCCTCAGTGTTTCTCATTCACTCTGATGACACTACTGCCATTTCCTTAGGGTTCTTTTCTCAACTCTTTGCGCTAAAATCTCCTCACCGACATCGCTGCTTTCGAATCTCCGCGTGTGAAAAGTTTTTCCAAACCGCAGAATCGTGAATGAGTCGAGTTTGTACGCAATCAGCAGACGCTTTGACGTGTTGCAATCCTGCAGAACCCGCGAATCAATGTTTTGCTCGGATCGCCGCGCATCCCGCCGCGCAACTCGCCGCGTGCCAGTCCGAATGAGCCAAAAGTCCCGCATCCGTCGTAAATGCGTTGAATTTTGACACGGATCGGGTTCTTGAGTACATTGACGTCAGTGTAGTGGCACTACTATTGTACTGTCGTATTATTCTACCAGTTGGCGCCGCACGCATTGCGCGCGCGACACAGATCTGTGGCGAGTTTGATGGTGCGACACGAAAATTTACAAATTTGCTGATACAATTACAATAATCTGAATTTCTCCGCTAATTCTATCCGCCTCTTTCTTCGATCAATCCATTAATCTCTTTTCCTCGGTCTCCGGACTGCTGCCAGGACAATAAATATGTGGCGAACTCCGTCTACTTCGGTGCGTGCCGCCCACCAATCAGCATTTGCCCCCTTCCTTTCGCCGACCTCTACCCCTTTTTCACAAGTCCTGGGACCTCTTGGAAACAAAATGTACGGAACAGCTTTTTGTCAAACTCGCCCAATTAGGTGGTGCTCTACCAATTAATACAGTTGAAGCTCTTTTCCTCACCAACTCTACCCGTTTTCCCCTATCCTAAAGCCTCTTGCAACCGTAATGCGAACTTTGGCAAACTCCGACCACTTAGTGTCGTCCTATCCACCAATAGCATTTGACGAGCCCCTATCCTTCGTCGGACTCTACCTCTCTTTTTCCCAGCCTCCTGTGACTTCTTGAGCCGAGTTATGAATTTTCCTCGCAAACTCCGCACCACTATTGGTCATTTCCGCCCCCCATTGACAGCTGGCTCACCACTTTTTTTTTTCCTCCAACCACCTCTATCCTCTTTTTCGCGCCTCCGGGATTCTTGCCAGCACAGGGAATGAATTTTCGTACAAGAACTCCGCTACTTTAGCCAAGCCCCGCCTACCATTGCCGTTGACTCTCACTTCCCGCCCAACTAATATCTTCTTTTTTCCCACTCTCGGAACCATTCTAGAACCGCAGATATGAATGTGTTGCAAACTCGCCGCACTTTGGTCATTCACGCCACAATGGCGTTGGACCTCCACGTCCCCCACCCAACTCTACCCACCATTTTTCCGTCTCCTGGGACTTCCTGAACCGAGTGATAATTGTCGTCGCAAAACTCCGCCACTTTTGGTCATGGTTCCGACCCACCATTGACAGCTGGGCCTGACACCCTGCACCCACCTCTATCCTCCTTTTCCGGCTCCGGGACTTCTTGGAGCCAAGTGATGAATTTTCGTCAATAACTCCGCCTACTTTAGCCAAGCCCGTACTCATTGGCCGTTGACCTCACACTTCCCCGTCCCAAACTATACCTTCTTTTTTCCACTGCTCCGAAATACCTTCTGGTAACCCCGCCGACGAGATCATGATTTTTTGTTGTCAAAACTCCGCCACTTTGGTCCATGCACCCGCCCACCAATGGCGGCTTGACCTCCACTCCCCACCCAACTCTACCCACTTGTTTCCGGTCTCCTGGATTCCTGGAATCACGAGTTATAAATGTTTCGTCGCAAACTCGGCCCACTTTGGTCATGCACGCGTCCACCAATGGCCGTTGACCTCCCTCCCCACCCCAACTCTACCACCTTTAATTCGCTCCTAAAGAGCTCTCCGGCCGAATTTATGAGGACTCGTAGAAAATTGCTGCCCACTAGAGCACGCCCGCCCACTGTGGTCGGCCTCCGTAAATTTCGTGTATGCTGGGCAACTCTTAGATATTGCAATCTCCCTCACATTTGGTTTTCTGCTTGTAGTTTCCTCCCAACGAGTTTTGAAGTTTTTCAAATAAAGCACTGCTTTTTAAGAGAACGTCCCGCCTCAAAGCGTGGGTCTCCCAGATTCGATGTGACGTACCCAATGCACACACTTTACCCACTTTTTGGTCCAGTTTCGAGGCTGTTTTCCCAACTGAAACTGAAATCGTGGTCTTCGGTACAATTCATTTCCTGACGCACGCACGCCTCTTGTGCGGGGCTCCGCATTAGCTGATGTGTGTTTGTATTACGTGAGAACTTACTCACCCATGCCCACACTTGACCCGGTCCCCTCCAGTGGACATACCGAGGAGCTATGAGAATTCTAGTGAGCAAGACAAACAGAACGACAGACGACAGACGACAGACGAAGCGCTTATAGTAAGTAGGAAAATGTGTTCGAAAAATCTCGAAAACTTCGAAGGCTGTCAATACCGCTTCCAACGGGATCAAAGAAGTCTAGACTGTCAACAAGGAGTAGTAGCATCAACGGAATTTCGTATATTTTTCGCTTTTTTTCTGTAAAGATGAAAAAAGAATTAGAACGGACAGTGGGGGGTCGGAAACGCGATCCTTCTTAACCACTTATTTCATGTTTGAGATTTCGATAATGCGATTCAGGATAAGTGTGAGAAAGAGCCTAATTGTGTAAGAAGCGCCTATTGGCGGTAACTACGCCACGTTGTGCACGCGCCTTTCTTTTTGTGTATTCAAATTCTAAAAGGAGGCTCAGCCAAGTGGCACACATATATACTTAGGGAAATTCTTGCGTCGGGAACTGATCGAACTCGCGGCGCAATATCCCGTAAGTGTTTGTGGCCTGCTAATTACTCGAGAGAAGCTCTGCAGTATAAATGTGTTGGAATTTTCTCTGTTAGCGGTGTGTTTCTCGCATCCCCGTCTGTCAAATGTCTGCTATGCACTTCCCAATTTGAGCTTGCTATTCTCCTTTTCGATGCGTTTTTACCTTCGAAAGCATCGTATACGGTTGTACTTGCACTTTCTGATATATACAGTCTATTAGAAAGCTTAGTATTTTTTATTTCATGCTTGTGTGGTGTTCTTATATACTTCAGAGAACGGAGCATGGGTAGACGTTCTCAAGAAAGACTACTGATAAACCTTCATTTGATTAATGGACGTTCCGCTGCTTCATCACCCAGCATACTTCCGGCAATCGTTCCAGACCATAACGCGTATACGGCGCGTCATTTTATAATCACCCGACCCGCCACCCCGGTCCTAATTTCTTCAGTTTCCGACTTATTGGAAATTTCCGTAAATCGGCCATAGCAACAATCGGTTCGGGTGTCGGAAACTAGGACACGTGTGTTTGGTTTTGAGTCAACGCGTGGATGTTTATTTGCCTCTGTTCTTATTGAGAAAATGCGGCCGACGTCAGAATGTTTATGCCATCCTAAATTTTCTTCCGATTTTCATGTCTCTAACGCTATTCAACTGTGGGTGGCATGTAATTACAAATGAGAGATCCCCCTCATGCAATGACACTAAATGGTGAAGCATCTATAAACTGATTAGTCGGAATATTAGCCTTTTATACGACGATAGCGCCATGAAAACGCTTTATCAGAGAAACAGCTGTGTGCTCACTAGTACGATCGCCTCTGCTGCTTGTTGTAAACTCAACGATGAAGTGTATCCAGGCAAAACTGGGAAAATTGATGCCTCAAGGGAACCTCAAATTCCTATTATCCCGCTTCGACACTCTGCTCAACTTTTTTTGTGGTCTGTCGGACCTGCGAAGCGCGGAAGCGTTCCACGC